GTGTCCCCAGAGCTGTTTGTCCCCAGTGTCCCCAGTGTCCCCTGTGCTGTCCCCAGTGTCCCCAGTGTCCCCAGTGTCCCCACTGTCCCCACTGTCCCCACTGTCCCCAGAGCTGTTTGTCCCCACTGTCCCCACTGTCCCCACTGTCCCCACTGTCCCCAGAGCTGTTTGTCACCAATGTCCCCACTGTCCCCACTGTCCCCAGTGTCCCCAGTGTCCCCACTGTCCCCTGTGCTGTCACCACTGTCCCCACTGTCCCCAGAGCTGTTTGTCACCGAGCTGTCCCCACTGTCCCCTGAGCTGTCCCCACTGTCCCCACTGTCCCCTGAGCTGTCCCCACTGTCCCCACTGTCCCCAGAGCTGTTTGTCCCCACTGTCCCCAGAGCTGTTTGTCACCGAGCTGTCCCCAATGTCCCCTGAGCTGTCCCCATTGTCCCCACTGTCCCCAGAGCTGTTTGTCCCCAATGTCCCCACTGTCCCCAGTGTCCCCAATGTCCCCAGTGTCCCCACTGTCCCCATTGTCCCCAGTGTCCCCAGTGTCCCCAGTGTCCCCAGTGTCCCCACTGTCCCCTGAGCTGTCCCCACTGTCCCCACTGTCCCCAGAGCTATTTGTCACCAGTGTCCCCTGAGCTGTCCCCACTGTCCCCAGTGTCCCCACTGTCCCCACTGTCCCCATTGTCCCCAGAGCTGTTTGTCCCCACTGTCCCCACTGTCCCCAATGTCCCCTGTGCTGTCCCCAGAGCTGTTTGTCACCACTGTCCCCACTGTCCCCTGTGCTGTCCCCACTGTCCCCACTGTCCCCAGAGCTGTTTGTCACCGAGCTGTCCCCAGTGTCCCCTGTGCTGTCCCCACTGTCCCCAGAGCTGTTTGTCCCCACTGTCCCCACTGTCCCCACTGTCCCCAATGTCCCCTGTGCTGTCCCCAGAGCTGTTTGTCACCGAGCTGTCCCACCTGCGCATCCTGCGTGTCCTGGACTCGCTGTTCCTGCAGCGCCTGCGCCGGGAGCAGCTCCTGAGCCGGGAGGAGCTGGGGCTGCTCTTCCCCAACCTGCCCGAGCTCATCGGCGTGCACGGTGAGCGGCCCAGCCCCACATCCCAGATCCCAGATCCCGAAATCCCCAAAATCCCCAAAATCCCCAAAATCCCAAATCCCAAAGCTGCTGACCCCGGTGGTTCCCCACATCCCGGTGGGATCCCGCCCTTCCCCAACCTGCCCGAGCTCATCGGCGTGCACGGTGAGCGGCCCAGCCCCACATCCCAGATCCCAGATCCTGAAATCCCCAAAATCCCAAATCCCAAAATCCCAAATCCCAAATCCCAAATCCCAAAGCTGCTGACCTCATTGGTTCCCCACATCCCGGTGGGATCCCGCTCTTCCCCAACCTGCCCGAGCTCATCGGCGTGCACGGTGAGCGGCCCAGCCCCACATCCCAGATCCTGAAATCCCCAAAATCCCAAATCCCAAATCCCCAAAATCCCAAATCCCAAATCCCAAAGCTGCTGACCCCGGTGGTTCCCCACATCCCGGTGGGATCCCGCCCTTCCCCAACCTGCCCGAGCTCATCGGCGTGCACGGTGAGCGGCCCAGCCCCAGATCCCGAGATCCCAGATCCTGAAATCCTAAATCCCGAAATCCCAGATTCCAAAATCCCCAAAATCCCAAATCCCAAAGCTTCTGACCCCTTTGGTTCCCCACATCCCGGTGGGATCCCGCCCTTCCCCAACCTGCCCGAGCTCATCGGCGTGCACGGTGAGCGGTCCAGCCCCAGATCCCGAAATCCCAGATCCTGAAATCCCAAATCCTGAAATCCCAGATCCCAAAATCCCCAAAATCCCAAATCCATGAAATCCCAAATCCCCGAAATCCCAAATCCCCAAACCCCCAATTCCCAGAATCCCAATCCCCAAATCCCAATCCCAAACCCCGGTCCCCGGAGGCGGCGGCTGATCCCGCTCTTCCCAGATTCCCTCTGGGAATCCATGCGGCGCCTGCGGGAGGAGCAGGGCCCCGTCATCGGCGCCATCGGAGACCTCATGCTGGCCCGGGTGAGCCCGGGAATTTTGGGAATTTCGGGAATTTTCGGAGTGCTGGGAATGCTGGGAGCGCCGGGAATGCCAGGAGTGCTGGGAATGCCGGGAATTTTGGGAATGCAGGGAGTGCCTGGAGTTTCGGGAACACCAGGAATTCCAGGAATTGTGGGGATCTGGGGAATCCCAAGGAATTTTGGGAACGCCGGGAATTTCGGGAATGCCGTTTCCCGTTCCCAGTTCGAGGGCGCCGCCCAGGAGGAATTCCAGCGCGCCGCCGCCGCCTTCTGCTCCTCGCAGTCGATGGCGCTGGAGCTGATCCGCAGCAAACAGCGCAAGGAGGCGCGATTCCAGAGCTTCATCCAGGTACGGATTGGGATTGGGATTGGGGATTCCAGAGCTTCATCCAGGTACGGATTGGGATTGGGATTTGGGATCTGGGATCTGGGATCTGGGATTGGGATTGGGATCTGGGATCTGGGATTGGGGATTGGGGATTGGGGATTGGGATTGGGGATTGAGGATTCCAGAGCTTCATCCAGGTACGGATTTGGGATCTGGGATTTGGGATTCAGGATCGGGATTGGGGATTCCAGAGCTTCATCCAGGTATGGATTGGGATTGGGATTTGGGATCTGGGATCTGGGATTGGGGATTCGGGATTGGGATTCGGGACTGGGGATTCCAGAGCTTCATCCAGGTACGGATCTGGGATCTGGGATCTGGGATTCGGGATTGGGGATTCCAGAGCTTCATCCAGGTACGGATCTGGGATCTGGGATCTGGGATTGGGATTGGGATCTGGGATTCCAGAGCTTCATCCAGGTACGGATTGGGATTGGGATTGGGATTGGGATTGGGATTGGGACTGGGGATTCCAGAGCTTCATCCAGGTACGGATCTGGGGTTTGGGATTTGGGGTTTGGGGAAGCAGTGAGGTCAGGAATTGAGGGATTTCAGGATTCCAGGAACCAGAGAGATGAGGAACTCTGGGGTTTGGGGCACCAGAGGAACGGTCAGGAATTTTGGGATTGGGGGAAGAAGAGGAGTCAGGAATTCCGGGATCTGGGGGCTTGGGGAACCAAGGAGGTCAGGAATTCCGGGATTTTGGGACTGGAGGGACCAGGGAGGTCAGGAATTCTGGGATTTTGGGACTGGGGGAAGCAGTGAGGTCAGGAATTCCGGGATTTCGGGGTTTGGGGCAGCAGAGGGCTCAGGAATTCCGGGATTTCGGGGTTTGGGGCAGCAGAGGGCTCAGGAATTCCGGGATTTCGGGGTCTGGGGAAGCAGAGGGCTCAGGAATTCCGGGATTTCGGGGTCTGGGGCAGCAGAGGGCTCAGGAATTCCGGGATTTCGGGGTCTGGGGCAGCAGAGGGCTCA